ACGAAGTATTTATTTCAGTAGCTCTTCTCATTCCCTGACCAATGAACCAACATAGCCATTCTGCTGCTGGTTCTGGAGACAATTACCGTTAGCAGCATCCATGTTCTTGACAGCCTACTCCACTATCACAGTAAATTGAGACAAAACACATCGGGATGCTTTTGACTGCAAGCGGAAGAAACCTAACTTGAACTGGCATCAGCAAAGATGGAGATGTCTTGAAGGTCCAAGGAACCATGTTGGGTCCAGGGCTTATGACTCAGCCTCAATTCCCTGCTTCTACTTTCTACTGATTTCTCTGTGTTGGCACCATTCCCGGAGAGACTTTTCACCTCATGATAACAAGTACTGCTGGCACCCGCAAGCTTCCATCTGATTTTCTCAGCAGCTCCCCAGAAAAACAGAAGAGCCTCTTTTCAAAGTCCCAGAACTGAATTTCCTGGGTCCTGAGCAGCCAGGCTTGGCTCATGGGCCTATCTCTGGACAAATCACTATATTTAAAGTTGTATTAATTTCTTATTGTTGCTGCAACAAATCATCATGAACGTAGTGGTTTAAAACAATACCAACGATTATCTTATAGTTCTGGAGTTCAGAAGTCTAAAAACAGGTTGGAAGGGCTGTGTGCCTTCTGGAGACTGAAGGAAAGAATTCATTCCCTTTCCTTTTCCATTTTCTAGACACTACCTGCGTTCCTCAGCTCAAAGCCTTGTACCACTCCAACTTCTGTTTCCATAGTCACAGCTTCTCTGACTCTGACCCTCCCCCACCCTCTTATGAGAACATTTAAAAAAATTACATTGCCCACCGCCCACCACCCCCAATAATCCAGGATCATCTCCCATCTCAGTGTCTTTAATCACACCCTCAAAATCCCTTTTGCCGTGTTAGTTGACATATTCACAGGTTCCGAGGATTAGGACATGGACATCTTTGAGGGTACCATTATTCTTCCTATCTCAAAGATGATGTGGTGGTCTGATTAGTTAGTCCATAGTCACAAGCCTGGAACTGGAGCATCCCCTGAAACCATGTGGACAGAGATGGGGAGGGGTGGTTCCCCAGGGGAAGATGTGGTCCATTACCAGACCTGGAGGGATGGGATGCTGGCAGGGCAACAACAGCAAATGTCCACAGCAGAAAACACAGGAAAAAACTTCAGGACTCTCTTGAACAATTTTCGTTCCTTTTGGGATCACCTGATTTCTTTTAGGCTTTGAGCACATTTGATTGACAGCACTAAAGTTCAGAATGCATTGTGATCATTTTATTTCACTGGGAATATTATACACAGTGTATGTCATTTGTAAAGCAAGGGATTTGGAACCTGGCACTTCCTCCAGTGCATTGTAGAATGAACCACATGCCAATGATGGGAGACACAGTTAAGAGTTGGACAACACGGAAAAGCGCTCAATTACTTGGTTTCTGAGTAAGTCCAGAGTTCTTGCTGCTGCGGGTGGGTGGGGAGAAGAAATTCCAGCATGATGGAAAACTACATAATGTATTATGTTACTCCCCCTTAAATCCCTTAAATTAAAGGAAAAACAATCTTCAAAGAATCATAAAGCACATAAAGAGACAACTGGAGGGGATGCTCATCTGAGATAAATTGCAGTATTCTTAACGGTTGGGTTTCGAATCAAAATGTAAGTGGTAAGGTCTCAAAGTAACAGTCGCACATCTGCTGACTTGGAAAAAGTTGAGGGAAAATAAACACAATGACCAAGCCGTGCACTTGGCCGAGCCCCAGCAGTGTCCTGATACATGACTTCTCCTAGGGGCACATTGGATGCTGAGGCAGTGAAGGCAGATCAAGGAATATTGGCAGACGTCTGCGGAGAAAAACACCTATTCATTCGTGTCCTCTGTAGAGGTCATCATGACCTTCCATCAGAGATTTTGGAATGGAAACTAGACAGATGGAGAGGCAGTGAGTTGTCAATGATACATAGAAGAAAATGGGAACCATTAAAATCCTAGGTATGAGTTCCAGAGGCAGCGCTGCTTAAGCGTTATGAACTCTCCCTGGAATCATGTGGAGTTAAAGTTGAATCCTGATTGACTGCCACTTACTAGATGCATGGTTGTAGGCTGGTTACGTTGACCTTTCAAACCTTAGTTTTTTCATCTGTGAGATGGGGCTAATGTTAGTATAAATTTTGTTGAATTGTCATAAGGGCAAAACAATGATGGAAACCACCAGCTTGCCACCGAGTTACATAAACTGTATGTTTCCTTTGCACATTGCTTAGCCTGGAACCCAGGAGGCTTTGTGATCTTGCCAAGTTTCCAAGCCGGCTTTACAATGAATTACTTTATATTTTAATTGAGGTTACCTTAAGTATATTAATTTAGAAAGGAATTTTATGTCAATCACTACCATGCATAGTAAGCTCAATTCCTTGGCCTGACAAAGGCTCCAAGCCTGTGGCCTGCTATCCCTTTGTACAAACCTATGGCCTGCTATATCCCTTTTGTATCCTTTTGTACAAAAATCCCTTTGTACAGCTCTCTCTTTGTTAGAGAGCTGTTAAAGACACATTGAGTCACTGCCCTGGCCATTGTCAGAAGCCAGAAGAACACTAGGAAAGGGAGCTCTTTCGCTTGAGAGCTGGTGTTGGCGAGTGTCACTCCAGGCTGCTGCCTCAAATCATGGTGCCCGGCTTGCTTTAGGGACCAAGGACAATGCCGCCTCCTCTGATCATCCAGCTGAACACACTGTCCTCTTCTCTGAGCTCTGTGCAGCATTTTATGTTCTCAGCATCCTGGATCTTTGGCGATCTATCACTGAACTTCCTTATCTCAACAAGAGTAGAAGCCCCAGAGGGCAGGGCCAGCTCCATCCTGGTATTTGGCTAGCACCTCCTGGTGCCTGAGAGGCTCATCCAGGGTTGGTAGATTTTTAATCCCAGTGAAGACAAGTGACGGTCGGCTTCGAGCTACTGAAGGCCATAGACCCAGAGAGTGATCTAAACAGCCATGATACCTCCTGTGTCTGAACATGGTACCCGAAAACCTCCTCCTACTCCTTTCCTCCTTTTAGCTGATTAGTATATTTTGTATTCCTCCAGCCATCCCCCAATCCAATTACTTTTTATTTTGTTGGAGATGGAAATTTTAATTCCAAAGAGATAGTAAGTATTATGGTCTGAATATTTGTCCTCTCCAAATTTATCTGTTGAAATCCTATCCATGAAGGTGATGGCAGGAGGTGGGGCCTTTGGGGGGTGATTAAGTCATGAGGGGTGCAGCCCTCGTGAATGGGATTGGTGTCCTTAAAAAAGAAACTCCCGGAGAGCTGCCTTGACCCTTCCCCATCTGAGGATGCAGTGAGAAGTCACCATCCACGATCAGAAATCGAGCCCCCATTAAACACCGAATCTGCCGGCACCTTGATCTTGGTTTTCCAGACCCCAAAAATGTGAAAAATAAAACTCTGTGATTTATGGTGTTTTGTTATAGCAGCCCGAACAAACAAAGATAATACTAAAGTGATCCAAATTCTAGCCCAGCACGAACAGAAGATATCGTGAGTATTGGGTTTTTCTTATTTTCAGAGCATCAAGTGCAAAAACAAACAAACAAACAAACAAACAAACAAAAGCTTGGATTCAAGGGCTAGGCAGGATGGGATGGGAGTGGGGGGATGGAGAACTTCAGCATCAGCTTCAATTCTGGAAGCTTGAGTGCTACTGTAGTTACTGCAGCTGTGTACCAATTTACCCAGAGTTTAGTGCTGTAAAACAACCATTTATTATGCTCACGGATTGTGTGGGTGGGAAATTCGGACAGGGTACAGCGGGACAGCTATTCCTCAGTCGGAAGTCTTGAGGGCTGGGAGCTCTAATCATCTGAAGGCACATTCACTCACAGGTCAGTGGCTGACACTGGCGGTCGGCTGGGAGGCCTTGGTTTCTCTCCATGTAGGTTTCTCCATGCGATCTCTCCAAGTGGGCTTGTTAGGGCTTCCTCCTGGCATAGCAGCTGTGTTCAGAGGACAGGTGTCCCGAGCCATCAAGCCAGGTGGATATTGTAGCACTTATTTGGACTCCCCTCAGAAGCTGCTCTGGTCACTTCAGCTGCTTTCTAGTTTTCAGAAGCTGGTCATTAAGGCTAGTAGAGGGCAGGACCAAATTCAACCCCACTTTTCAGAGATGAGGTCTCGCTATGTTGCCCAGGCTGGTCTTGAACTCCCAGGCTCAAGCAATTCATCCACCTTGGCCTCTCAAAGAGCTGGAATTACAGATGTGAACCACTGCCGCTCCCCCACCCCCAACTCCATCTGTTATGAAAGGAGGGTCCTTTGACCACGAGTGCCCTGAGAAGTGAGGAGGGCTTCCCAGTCTCAGACATTTTTATCTGAGCTGGAGATGGGGACAGTCTCCCACACACAGGACTTGGAAGGCTATGAAGGAAATAGGGGGCTCTTGGAGGCCATTTCCCATGGTGGGGACGGTTGTGTGAATGAACTTGGCCTTTAGGGAGAGGAGCCCGACTCTCCCCTGAAGCCACCCCATCTGCGGGGATGGCTGAGGAATCCCTGGACACCCCAGGACCGCTAACCCAGGATCTTTGTTGACTTTGCCCCCAGGCCACTGCCCCACCCGCAGGCTCTGAACTCCTGGGAGAGGTAGGGAGCCAGCCTGAGGCGTGAGTCAAGAGTGTAAAGTACACTGAGCTCCTTGGCAAGCAGGCTCTTCAAGGGGAAGGTGTCACTCGGGGAACACTGAGAAATGTGTCTTTCCCTCAGGCCCTGATAGAAAAGATAACATCCCTTGAGCACAGTTTTTTCTCATCTGTTCTTGCTCTTGGATGGTGGGGCGGGGGGGGTTGCTACTCCGGAGCAGCGAACTGGCGGGCGGGGTTGCGCCTGTGAGTGCGCGTGTGCGTGTGTGCGCGCGCTCTCGTGGCCTTCCAGCAGCTGGCAGCTGTCCCGGCCCCCACCCCACCCTACCCCACCCCACCCAGCCGCGCCACGCCACGCCGCCCCCGCCCCTCGCTGTCCTGGGTGCGCCTCGGGCCGCTGCGCTCCTGGCCAGCTCCCCCCAGCGCCTGGGAGGCGACCCCCAGTGCGCCCGGGTTCAAAGGCCCCGCGAGGCAGCTCCAGCCCCTCTGGGGGGCGGGGAGGCGACGGGGGTGGTGCAGAAACCAGAAAAGCCCGAGCCGCAGCCGGCCAGCTCCGCACAGGGATGGGCAGCGCGCTCTGAAAGTTTATGACCGCCGCAGCCAACTCCTGGCTGGAGCTGGAGACACTGAGAGCGATCGGCCGGCCTCGAACCCCCACAGCTGGAGGGCGAGGCCAGCTGTACCTGGCCCCAGTGCCCTTTCGCGGCCACAGGCGGCCGTCCTCCTGGTCCTGTGCTCCGGCGCCTGATCTGGGTTCATGGAGCCGGGGCTGTGGCTCCTTTTCGGGCTCACAGTGACCTCCGCCGCAGGTAAGCGCACGGGGCGGCGCGCCTCTCCTGGCGCGAGCGCACACAAAAGGACCCAGGGCGGGGAACCTGAGGCGTGCAGATGTGCGTTGCCGGGAGCAAACTCTTGCCTGGGCTCTGCACTCCTGAAGACGTCTGGGGGCGGGCTGGGGAGCAGAAGCGGCGCTCAACGACTACCCCCACGGGCTCTGGGGGTTGCAGCCCACGCACTGGCTGGAGACCTGCTGCCTGGGCCGATTTGGTCAATTTTTCATGTAATTGGGGACTTCTCAGAAAGTTTGCGAACTATTCAGAGGCTGTGTCAAACTTGCAAAGTTTTCAGAAAGTATGCAATATGCATGCAAGTTTTCAACGGGTGCAAATAGTTTGCAAGCTTCTCACAGAGTGTGCAGATAGCTTGGAAACTTTTCAGAAACTGCGCAGAGCTTTAGAGATTTTGCAGACATTTTGCTTGCTCCACCCCCCTTCTCAGGTGTTTGGGGGTGGCGGGTGTTGAGGGGTCTGCACACTCAGCTCAGGAGCCCCTTAATCTGCCTCCTGCAGGATTGGTGCCTTGCTCCCAGTCTGGGGATGCTGGCAGGCGCGGCGTGTCCCAGGTCCCCACTGCAGCCAGATCTGAGGGCGACTGTGAAGAGACTGTGGCTGGCCCTGGTGAGGGGACTGTGGCCCCGACAGCATTGCAGGGTCCAAGCCCTGGAAGTCCTGGGCAGGAGCAGGTGGCGGAGGGGGCCCCTGAGCACCACCGATCCAGGCGCTGCACGTGCTTCACCTACAAGGACAAGGAGTGTGTCTACTATTGCCACCTGGACATCATTTGGATCAACACTCCCGAGTAAGTCAGCCTTTCGTGGTGAGGAACATGGGTCCCGGACCAGGCCCACATCTGCGCCTTTCCAGGAGGACCTCACTCCACCCCAGCCCAGCTCAGTCAGCCCAGAGCCTGCCCTGGCACAGCCTTTAGCTCTTGCTGTGGCCTCCTGCCAGCCCAGGTCTCTTCTGCAGGTCAGGGGTGTGAGCCACATCCCCCGGAGGGCCTGGCCCAAGAGAAACTCAATCCTGACTTTGATCCTGTGGAAGGGGGGTGGGTGGGGGGGGTGCTGCCTCTGAGTGAAGTGAACTGACCAGGGGGATTAGATACCTGAGAAGTCTCTCTGAGCCTCTTTTTTGAGATAGAGAAAGCCCCGAAAGTTTATCTCATTCCCCAGGTGCTAAGGGGGCTCATACTCACTGTTGACTCCACCAGGATCCAAGGGCTTTAAAATTCCTTGAAAGCATCCTGGTCTCCAGGGAGTCTAAGCGTGGCTTTAGCTGAGCCTGATAGAACCTGCGCAGTCCACTCAGGGTGGAATTCCCCCGGGATGGGCTCCCTTCCTCCCTGCGGGCCCTGCTGGATGCCAAGGCAGGGCCAATTCACATCAAGTCATCCATGGGCCTTCCACAGTCTGGCTCCAGTCACCCACTGCCACGGCCACAGAGGGCCTTCCCTTCTCTCCCGCAGTCCTTAGGAACTCTCTTACCCTAGAGCCTAGACCTGAATTTGTCTTGGGATTTGCCCTGTGGGGAAGTCAGCCTTCTCCTGGGGCCATGTGGAGAGAGTGTGGCTCTGACCGGGGAGGCTTTGATGACTCCCATTGTTCAGGGAGCCCCTCCCTCTGACACATCATCTTGCAAGCTATCCAGAGGGCTTGACCTTGCTTGGGTCACCAACCCTCCAGCATTGGCTTCCCCATCTCTAAGATCTGGGACTTGGATCAGATGCCTCTAAGTTCTGTTCCCTGGGTGTTCGTGGGATCTCTTGGGACTCCTGCTTGTACCCTATTAGGGATTTTTAGCTGGGAACTCAGAGACGGTTGTGAATGCAAACCCCTGGAAGTCTGGAAAGGCAGCTTTGCCACCGTGTCCTGGGGCCATCTTGATTCAGGTTCCTCACTTTTAGCTTTACCCCCAAGCCCTGTAATCTCTGAGCCCTCGGTAGCAGCTTTGATGGGGCTCACTTACCTACTTGTGTCATCGGCACCTCAAAAATGAAGTGCAGAGGAGGGTAGTAAACCTGAGGGGTGGAATGTCTTTCAGACCAGGGGACAAGACCTCTAATCACATCTGAGATAGGTCTGGAACATCACGCCATCATGCTCGAAGGGCAGGCAGGGCGGCTTCACGTTGAGCCAGCAGGACACTTGCACAGGGTCCCGCACTCAGACAGACTCTAGCTTGGCTTAAAGTCCTGCTGTCACTGTCTTGAAATCCTTAATACTTTCTGAACCAAAAGCTGCACATTTGCATTTTCTCCTGGGTCCCACAAATTCTGTAGCTGGTCGTGATACCCTGATTTGCTGGCTGGGCTGTGTCCACCTAGAGGATGGGAGGTACCTCCCTGTTTCTTTCCCTTTGTGGAGAAGATAGAAACCGTGAGTGTTGGGCCATCATCAATTGCCTCTTATCCTCAGACAGCAATGGGAGTCATCTTTCCTTATAGCCCCTGCACCTTGGCACAGCCCTTTCTGATTCCTATCCCGTGTCATTGTGCTGTGATCAAATTCACTTCATAGAATGGAGGGCACTGGGCGGTCACCAGGAGCTGAGTTCTTGTCTTGGCCAGAATCCCCAGCTGTGAATCTAGAAGGAGAAAGAAGAAAGCTAACGGAATGACAGGCAGGGACCTGGGGTGGTGGGCAGGCGGGAGAGGATTTAGAGACCATCTCGTTCGTTGCTGTTTACCAAGCCCCAGAGCACTGGCTGGGGAGGAAGCGATGACTTGAGACTTGTCCGAGAGTCTCAACCAACACCCAGTGATCTGTTTAAAATTCTGTCTCGTGCACCCTGCCATCTGTTTGAAGTCCTGTCTCATGATTTTGAGTTTGTCCTGAAATGAAGCTGTGGATCTCTGACTTTTTCCAGGACAGCCAACTTGATAACTTTCCCCCTCAAGTGTGATTTACCTCTTCCCCTCCTTCCCGACCCCGGTTCAATTTAAACACGAAGAAAGAAGGATTAAATCTGGTGTTTGGGCGTCCCCTGAGCTACTTGGGAAACAAAAATGACAATAGCCAGACTTGAGCGTTTTGAAATGAGACAGGTGAAATAATTTTTGTGAGGCAGAATTTCCCGAATGGCCTCCTTCCCTCCCTTCCTGCCTCCCTCCTTTCTTTCTTACCCTCCAAACTTCCTCCTGCCCTCCCTCCCTCTCCCCCTCCCTTCTTTCCTTCTTTTCTTTCCTTTCCTTCTCTCCTTCCCTTCCTTTCTGAAACTCTGTAGGTGTGTAGATAGGTCTGTTTGTCATCTTTGAAATATCTCAGACAAGACTGCAATTTGAGAAAATGGGCTATAGTGACAGGGAACATGAGTGACAGGGAGCAATCTAAAAAAAAATCACTGAATTGAGCAAAAGAGGCCATGGTAGTGGGTGACACAGTCTCTTCTAGTGGTTCTGTCTCCCCATTAGATCGCAACCCCACCTCTCGCGTGTTCCCCTCTCCTGCTGTCATGTCCTCTTCATTCATGGACTGGCCTCGCTCTCCGCACTTCTCCACCAGGTGTGATTTCTGCCTGTCCCAGCAGTGGCTGCTCTGGGCACTAGAAGGAGCCTTGATTTTTGTGCCTCAGTCGGGGGTCTTGAACTTTGGGTGCTTTTCACCTTTCAGAGTTCTCCCACTGCCCATCCAACTATGTGAAGACAGGATCAACACTCCTAGTTTATCTTGGACAGAAATTTCTTGAGTACGGTCATTTTTGCTCCCTTTGAGGATTTGAGATGCTGCAGGAGTCATGTTGGGAGTTACTACCGAGACCTGCTTTGCATCTCCTCGAGGAAAGTTAACTGTCTAGTTCAGGTTCAAGAGACTAGTTGGTCTCTTAAGTCTCTTTTGGAAAGAAGGTCTGAGATTCCTCAGCTGTCCCTTTGGCCCTCCTGCTTTCTTCGCCTCCTTAGTCCTTCCAGACCCGAGATTGGTCGGCCCTTTCTGTGAGCACCCAGCATGACACAGATACTCGGGAAATGCTGGTTGATTTATGGCCAAGTCCTGCAACCTAGGAACTCTGGCTCATCTTTGCTGTTGCTGAGCCCCTAAATCTCCAGTGCCTTCTCCACACAGGAGGCCTCTTTCTCCAGGTGCCTGGCTGCTCTTCAGGGGCCTGCACATCCCTGTAGACGGTCATGGGCAAGAGAATTTTCCTTGGGGATGTGGCCCATAAGTTCTGTGATGTCTTCCCAAGAGTCCATGGCCCCAAAGAGGAACCAAATTTATACTTGCCCCACCAGGGCTGCTGGGATCACAGCTCATCAGTGGGCTAGCATGATTTCCATTAGCCTTTCCTTGGCTGTCCCCAGCAGTCCCCAAGCCAACCCACCACTGCCAACAAAAACAAGGTCCCAAATCAGAGAAAAACATATCCCATCCTATTGTCATGGAAAATTTGCCAAGAATAAGATAGTAAGGGGACAGGTGGTGAATAAGAGGTCCGTGTGCTGATGTCCTTGTACACTGCGGCTGTTCTCTATGAGCAGACTGAAGAAACAGATACCAGGTAGCTGGGTCCTGTAGGAGACAGAGTTCTCCAGAGAGACAGAACCAACAGGGGGTGTGTGTGCAGATTATGCATATATCAAAAGTGTAGTTGCCAAAGGAAATACTTGGTTGCTCTTGGGGGCCATGGATTTTTATGGAGGATAAGACAGAAGTTATGGGCAATGTCCCTCCAGAAATATATATATGGAGAGAGAGAAAGAGAGGTTTTATGAATTCGGCTTACACGATTGTGGGGGCTACACAGGCCAGAAATCTGCTTGCCAGCAGGCTGAAAATTCCCAAGGAAATTGATGTCAAGGAGGTCTGGAAGCAGAATTCTTTTCTGTTTGGGACCCTGTCTTTTCTGTGAAGGCCCTCAGCAGATTGGATGAGGCCCATACATTTTGGAGGGTCAGCTGCTTTGCCCAAAGTCTACTGATTTAAATGTTAATCACATGTCAGAAATACCTTCAGGGCAACATCTAGGCTGCTGTTTGGCTAAACAAGTGGGCACAGTAGCCTAGCAAAGTTGACACCTATAGTGACCCATAACGGGGATATCAGCTCGAACCACATTTCACGGCGGACCAGCCCCTCAGAGCCTGGCTGAAGACTGAAAACCTGTTTATCCAATGGCTGACTGAGCTGTGAAGCATCCAGCAAAGAGCCCCGCTGTGTTCCTCCCCAACCCATGGGCTGAGGGATCCTACACCTGTTCATCCCTCTAAGGACATCTGAGGGAGGCATTGCGATGCTGGATGGTGACCGGATTTTCTAAACCAAAATCTGACACACATGGGCTGGCAAATAGGAATGTAGTTACGAAAAGAACAGGGCAGGATGTTGGGAATCATGACCATGGTGGAAAATTTGGGATTTACAATCTCCACTTGTGGAGAAGACTCCAGAACCCTAGAGTGCTACCCCTGAGTCCTGGTCATGACTCTCTGTGTGGCCTCGAACCAGGAGGTGCCGTTGCCTCTCTGTGACCCTCTGGAAGGTGCAGACATCAGCCACTTCAGGACAGTGAGCTGCCGGGTCTCTCCTAATCCCAACAGTCTGATCAGCTCCTATCAAAATGCCCAGGCCGGCTTCCCAGGCTGCCATGGAGCAAGCCACACTTAACTTAATCCAGCAGGAATGCCATTTGTTTTGAGTTCTTTTCTCCCCTAAAGGCGTAAAGAGTTAAAATAATAACAATAATAATAATTAACGAAACAAAAACAAAACATTTAAACTTACATTTTAATGTATTCTACCACAAAAGGGCAGCGTCACAAATTCTGACTTTGCCTTCTATATTCTTCAAGAAAGGCATCTTGGCATG